CGGTCTTCATTGGCTTATCAACGCTCGGTCACCTCTTAGCCTTGAACATAAAGTCCTGCTGTACAACTCGGTACTAAAACCTATATGGATGTACGGCTCCCAGTTATGGGGGAACGCCAGCAATAGCAACATTGACATAATTCAAAGAGTTCAGTCGAAGATCTTGAGAACAATCACCGGGGCACCGTGGTACGTTCGCAACGAAAACATACACCGCGACTTAAACATTCGACCAGTCAAAGAAGCGATCGCAGAACAGAAGGTAAAGTACTTAACCAAGCTATCGGTGCACCCTAACCACCTGGCGAGAGGTCTAACAAGGTTGAGCAACCAATCACGCCTTCGTCGCAATGACTTACCCACCCAGCGACCGACCTGAGGGACGCGCAACCAGAATGCAGTCTTAGTATACTGTTAGTTAAATTTTAATGTTAAGATTCGTCAACTTATTGTTAGTCTCAAAATTAAGAGTAGATTCAATAAATAAAAGCAAAGCTATAATAAAAAAAAAAAAAAAAGTGGCAACCACCGGTAGTCAGATCGATCGTCAGATTACCTATATGCAGGAGCGTAATGCGGCAGACTCCTCGGCGCTAGCCAAACTACAAGACTCTCATCGGGTAGCCATGGCCGGGTACCTCGAAAATAGCCCTGAACTCCTTCGTCTGGAGTCCAAACGGTGATAAAAATAGCACGGAGCAAACTGCAAACGTACGTGGGAACAGTACGCCACCACGTGGCCAAGCAGGCCAATACCAACGAGGAGCTTGGCCGCACGCTGGACAATATTGGAGAGCTGTGCAGCTTTCTGGACGTCAAGTTTATGTTTCCGCTCCATACCAGATCCGCTCCCATTGACCAGGCTCTAGAGGCCAACGAGCAGAAGCAAATCAACAACTCCAGCCGACCAAAGAAGGTTTCGCCTAGTGCTTCTCCCACGGTAATAGGGCCACCACCCTCAATTAGCAGTGGTGGCTATGAGCTGCCCGAGAATGCCTTTATGCACAGTTCCATGCGACGACTTCTGGGTGAGCTGTGGGAAATCGAGCTATCAACCATCACCAGCGACGAGAAGCCCGGCCCCAATTCAGCTTCAACCCTAAACGGTCTTCCGGCAGCGGAGCCCCAGCAGCGTCACCTAAACTAACTAAGCTGAGCTGATACTTCTGAATCCTCTCCAATCGACTAAACATGAATTTAGACTTTAAACAAAAAAAAAAAAAATAAACCACCAAGTGGTGAATCAAAATAATTGAAAGACATACAGTTTAATTATATTTGGACTTCGCAAAAGTCAGTAAACTAAAAATATGTGACATAAGCTCCCGGCCCGCTCCCGATCCGAAAATCGGGTAAACCGACATTTATGATAAACCAAATATTTTGTTTTTTTATCTGACGTTAACGCAAACAAAGCAACTTGCGAATACGCAATGTATAACTGCCCATGAGAAAAACAATGATTTTATAAATTTTTTTTGCAAACATTAAACATTAGCTTTGCGTCTTCTTGCGTCATTGCAAACGCAAGGCGCACTGGAAATTGCAATCGTTTGAAGTCAAGATCATTCAAGGAATTGACTTGAAGATCATTCAAGTCAAGGAAGATCATTCGGATTCAATGGTATTCTAGGAATACATAAAGTTTCATCTGCGCACCTTCCGTTAATAACACAGTGCGATAGTGATTTAGAACTTTTGAAGAAACCTAGTAGGAATTGTTTATTAGATGTTTGAAATATTATTGAAATACAAAACCGTGTTTGAAATATTTCTATCCCCCTTAATAATCTTGATTTATTTAGAAAAAACGGGTTTTCGGGACCTTTTTGTTCTTAAAAATTCCTTATGGCGTAATTTTAAGCGGATTTTAAAATTTTCGACTTTTCTTTATCAAGAAAATGACATTTTTGAATTTTTGTTGTATTTTTCGTACTTTGACGCCATTTTTTGGTACAACTCCCAAGAAATGTTATCATTTTTGATGCATATCAATATTACCTCATTAATCTCGAATAAAACGAGACCAATTTCATCAGGAAATTATGAAAATTGTTGAAGTTATAACGCTTTTCCCAATACAAGTCAGTTCAATCCTGCTAGCGTTCCAGAGCAATGTGCTCTAGGTGTGCCCTTCCATTTCGCTTATTCCTTTCTTTTCCACACTTTTACTCCGGGGCGCTAGTAAAATTTAGCTGACTATTTTGGCTACTTGAATTCAATAATCTTCGAACAGAACTTAAACGTTACGCATCCTAGTTCCGCATGATCCGTCGGTTCACCCAAACAAAATGTTTCATAGAACATGCAACCATATCAAAAGATCACAAGGACCGTCGGTTCAGGGATATCTGGCGAACTCTAGCAAAGTGTTTGATACAAAATGCAATACAACAAAAGGTCACTAGACCCGTCCGTTTAGGGCAAAAAGGCAAACTCAAAGTGTTCGATAAAAAAAAAAAAATTATTATTTATATGCACCATACAACCCGAACTAGGCCGTCAGTCAACGGGTACAACAGGGGGACCTACACCCAAGCAATTGCATGCCGTAACTGCATACACCGCTGGTAGTGCGACTATACTCTCCACGTGAGGGCGGCTGGTAACGGGTCCCGGTAAGGTCATGTCTTTGGCGAGGATGCTGGCTAATGGTAGTCGGGTGGGGAGAAGAAAACTTCCTTCCTTAACTCACCCCAATCCAAGGTGGAACAGCATATGCCGAAGGATGCGTGTCCGAGGGGGGGCTCGGAAGCTAAGATGCGAACTCTGGGGGACCGGCCGACCTCCCAGTTTTAACCAGGCTTATCGTGACAAGCGGGCTATGTCATGATAGACAAACCCCTTCCCGCCTACTCGTGGGACCAAAACATGAATTCTTACTTACCTAACAAAAACCTAAGTGGAGAACGGAATTTCCTAAAAAAGTCCGGAAATGGGGTCAGTGACCTGTCAAACTCCAAGGCCCTCAAAAGCCAAGATAGAAAATGGAGATAGAGAAGAGGGTCAACATCTGGAGGCGAGACGCGCCGGTGCGAAGGAAGCTGCCAAGACTTGGAGAAGAAGACCCCAGGGTCAACCTCTAAACCAACCGGCGGAGCCCCTAAGTCGAACCCTGGTCCGGGAGCGTCTCACTCGACGCAGCGAAAGTGCTCTTATAAAGATAGGAGAAGCCTTCATTTTAATGAGAGCGGACCTATCGGCCGAAGCCAACCCGGATCAGGCCGAGATTATTAAGTGGGCAAGGGAGTTCCTGCCCGATTTTAAACCGGAAAAGGCAGGTGTGAGGCTGGATCCGAAAAAACGTGATGGGTCAAGTCCTGCCAAGGAGATCACGCAAAGCGTGGGTGGGGGTGGGACTGCGGGGGCAGGTTGTCCTCACACTCAACGAGGAGATCGTTAATGCCCTGGAAAGGTCGGAGCACCGGTTAAAGTACGGATTTGAACATGTGACGGTCCGCAGTTACAAATCCGATGCGAAGACCAAACCAGGAGGTATCGGGCTGGAGGCAGACGCGCCTGAGCCAGTTTGGGAGGAGCCGACCGAAGAGGGGCACACGGAAGGAATGTCGGATGAGGAGGAGGACATCCTGGAAGGGTACACCTCGGAGGAAAGCGACTTGCCAAGGGCACTTGGTGGAGGAGGACTCTCTGCTGAGCTCCGAGACGGAGGCAGAAGTTACTGTGGTGGAGAATCGTAAGAATGTCCCTGAAAATCTTGCAGATAAACCTCCATCACAGTAAAGCGGCGTCAGCTGCCCTCCTACTCCACCTCGCCGAGAGTGGAGCTGATTTGGCACTTATCCAGGAACCCTGGATCCTTGGAGACAGTATATAGGAGTATAGGCTCTGCAAAGCCGATACAACAGGAAAAGACGAGCCTGCATCCTCGCAAAAAAGAACCTTAACTTCTTTTTGAAGCCCTCTAAGGGTGTGTTCGGCGTATATGGGCCACGACCAGGAGGCCCTCCCCCCGCACCTGCTACTCAACCAGCTGGTGGAAGACAGCAGGAAGCACAAGATCGACCTGATCATAGGTTGCGATGCCAACGCCCATCATCATCAGTGGGGAATCACTGACACAAACGAGAGGGGTGAGTCAATCTTCGATTTTATCCTAGGCTCCAATCTTCTGGTGAGTAACAGGGGTACAGAACCTGCCTTCATAGTCAAGAACAGAAGGGAAGTACTTGACTTACTCTTTACTCTGACTCCCTAGCTGACAGGATTGTTAAATGGGGAGTCCTAGAGAAAAACTCTTCTTCGGACCATCGATACATAGAAGTAGTGGTCAATTTCGAGAACTTTAATCGACTAACAGTACGCATCCCGACAAAAGCAAACTGAGAGTTATTCAGGAAAAAATTAGAAAGATCCTTGGGGAAACCTCTAACAAAAGACGTTGACAGCAGAAAAGACCTGGATGCCATGGTGGACACGCTAATGGCGGCGTGCACCAGGGCATTCCATAAAGCTTGTCCCAAAAACAGATCGTGCAGTAGCAAGTCAGAGAAACCACCATGGTGGTATCTCGCAACAACTGCACCAAATTTAAGATACATTAAAATCTCGGAAAGCTCTTACAAATGCACATTTCCCGGGATTTTCTTAAGACGAAAAAACCCCGGAAACGCCGAGATAGGGGGACAGCCCCTCCCTCCCAAACCATCTCGAACACCTAATAGGTATCCCAGCTGGGTATAAGTAATAGGTATCTCGAAGTAATAGGTATCTCAGCTGAGCGATAAACAGCTTCAATCCCTTCAAATCCCCAGATACGGAGATGGAAGACTCCTTACTGATGATGAGCCACAACTCCAGAGATGGCGACAGCACTTTAGAGAGATCAGCTGCACAGAACAACCGATGCTGAGCTGGCGGTACTGCACAACGGGAAAATTAGTGCACCATTCCAGACGAACACAGGCGTCAAGCAAGGATGTCCTCTATCACCACTTCTGTTCAACTTGGTAGTCGACGAAATTATGAGAGAAGTATGCATGAACAGACATGGAATCACCTTGAACTTCACCCGACATCTAGAAGACTTGGATTACGTGGATGACATATGTCTCTTGGCTCACAAATTCGAAGACATTCAAGCCAAAGCTAGGGACCTCGAGATCCGAGCCAGCGCAGTAGGCTTAAAGATCAACGCATCAAAAACGAAAGCTATGCGGATCAACAACTCCAACACAAACAACATCACAATCGGAGATAATACCATCGACTTCGTCGACAGCTTCACCTACCTCGGTACTATCATAACATCAAATGGTGGAGTGGAAAGTGATGTGGAGAACCGACTGCGCAAAGCGAGGTCTGCATTTGGAAGACTACACCGAGTATGGAGAAACCAGCAGATAAACAGAAAAACAAAGCTGCGCATATTCAACTCGTGTGTAAAATCCATACCGCTATACGGATCGGAGACGTGGCTGACCACTCAAACGATATTGATGAAGCTGCAGGCTTACATCAATAAGTGCCTAACAATAATACTTGGGGTAATCTGGCCAGATAGAATACCCAATGAGGACTTATGGCACTGCACAGGAGAGGTCCCAATCCAGGAGCAAATAAAGAAACGGAAATGGATTGGCCACGCTCTGAGGAAGGAACCAGGAAGCATCATAAGAATGGCTCTGGATCGGAACCCACAAGGAAGCAGAAGAGTGGGTCGCCCAAAGATGACCTGGCGCCGTACAGCACTCCTACAAATATCCCGGAAGAACATCAGCTGGGACACAATAAAGCAAACAGCGGAAAATAAAGTTAGGTGGAGAGCCCTTGTAGAGGCCCTAAGCTCCCGAGAAGAGTAATAAGGGAAAAAAAAAATGGTTACACAAATTGTGACACGCAAATTTTATATAAATAGATTAATCATTGAATTGCCAACGAGCAAGAAAAAATAATTTGTATACTATACAAAAATTTATACTATTAACAATACAAAAATATTATTGCCGGGTCAGGCAGCAGCACGGCGTTTAATGTTTATGTAATGTTTAGTGTAATGTTTATTTAATAGGCTTAAGTTTGTACAAAAGCTTAGTTGATCGCAAGCTCGACTCTACGTGCTTTTTATAGAGAGTTTTAGCTCGGCAATGTCTAGGTCGGGCCGCCCTCTCCATTTATTTTACTGGCATTGAAAACCCTCAATGACCAAACAATTATATTTACCAAATTATATTTTGTTCAACAAAGAAAGCATTGTAAAACACGTAGAAGACAATTGTAAAAAAATTGCAAAGTGTACCTATGCCACGAGGAAAATACTTCGGATCCCAAGTATCAAAAGAAATGTTTAAAGGAAATCTTATCAGCAAAACCAACGACATATGTGGCATAGGAAACCGACCATAAGGATCTGGCAATCAGAGGGCGAAAACATCGTCCTAATCAACGCTCGAAACACCACCATTATTCCTTCGTGTGCTGAACAATTCAACTTAACCGGTACAGTTCTATTTCAAATAAGGAAGTGCGGAGAAAGTATTGGTGAAATCAACGAAGTCCTGAACGTACCAGTTTCCAAGTGGACAGATATCAGGCTCAGAAAAATGTTAACAACACCAAACCTAAAGGAAATATACCTTCAGAATGAAGAATTAACGAGGTCAGCGAAACAACGTTAGAAGACCTACTCTTGGTTAGCAATAGACACAATGGAAAAAATCCTAAACCTGATCAGAAAAAGAAGATAACCAAAAACACTTTTTACCCCAGAACCAACCCTGCAATTCGCGCGACCATACCTTCACTCTGGCCGTCACTTCACTCTAGGAAGGGAAGTGTTACCGTTATACCGGTGTTATAGCCACTGAACATCGTCGCGACACATCGATGATATAATATTATAACATCGATATTATAATTAGCGTTTTTGCAACATATACACATTAATTCTTTGTCTTATTTCAAACTTTTTTGTAAAACCTTTCGGGAGAATAAACTCTGTTCATTTTTAGAATTTAAATGCATTGGTCTTAATTACATTAAAATAGTAAAATACTTAAACATTTAAAAACATACCATATATACATATGTATATAATACCAAATATAAAAAAGGTCCAAAACTTTTATCGGCCGATCCTTATGAATCCTTATGATCCTCGCTCTGGTAGCATCTTTGAAGTGCTCTCAATTCGCCAAATTTTGCCGCATATCATTGTTACTGCCGCATACCAGATACTGCATTAAAAGACATTAATTTCAAATTATAAGAACATTTTTTTTTTCATATAACAAAAAAAAAAATTAAATTTCAATACAATAACAACAATTTCAATTATTATTTTCTTCCTCTTTAAACTTAAAAAATACTACCAGAGCGACTACGTAGTTGCTACGAGTGCGACTATGCAGTTGCTACGAGAGCACAAAATTATTTTCTTTGGCCCTGCTCTCATCTCGCTGTCGATGCTTGTGCTATTGCTACAACTACAAATAGCGTGTCGCGCATTTTCTTGCTATTGCTATTGCTCCGTGCTCCGACGTTCAGTGCTACAGAGCAGAGCAGAGAGCAGCCGTTTTGATTTTGTGCTCTCTGATATGCTACAGAGCCGATCGAAAACAGAGCAATAGCGGGAGCAAAAAAAAATACTCTGATGTAGCATAGCATTTTCAATCACTGGTTATGTGTCGGTAATCGCTACAAGTGACAGCTTAGGATGGCATAGCGGTGCTAGAGATGACACATCGTGCGGAAGGAATGGCCCCAAGAAGATGAAGCCAGAACGAACCGGGCGGGTTTCAACCGTTGTAAGGTCAAGGAAAGAAAAGATTAGCAGCTGGAGGAGAACACGTGGGTATGAAACGTGAAACTGGAAAAAATAGTGAAGTCGTAAGCCCTAAAGCCTAATACTCTGACGACGAAAATCCGCTGTCACACGTGTGCTAGCGAAATCGCTCTTTATTTGGCTACCGAGCTAGTGTGACCAAAAAAATTAGGGAAAAGGATAATACTGAACAGCTGTTCTCTTTCTCTCTCTTTAATATTTCTCTTTCAATTTTCGCTCCATGTTTGGGGTGTCACAATAAATCAAATAAATTATTCTTACACCCCGAGATCAGCTGTTTACTATTATTGATCGCCATTCAATTTGATAGCCATCATTTTCGTCGTCAGAGTACCGGCAAAATCTAGGAGGCAAAAATTTCTTCTTCTTCCTTTTCTCACACCTTTTTTATACCCTTGGAGAGGGTATTATAATTTTGTCCAAAGACTATATCCTATAGCTGCCTATAGCTAAAATTTTACATAAGAGATATTTTTTGCAAAATAATACGACGTGCCGAATTTCATAAGGATCGACCGACTATATCCTATTGCTGCCATATAACTGAACGATCGGAAATAACCCAACTTTTGTGTTTTTGAAGATAGAAAGCTGGAACTTAGTACGGATTATATTTTTGGTCAGATAATCCGACCTATCAAATTTTATAACGATCGGCCGAATATATTTTATAGCTGCCATAAAACTGAACTATCGTATATGGTTTTTGGTAGAAATACAACCTTTGGTATTTTTGAAGATAGAAGTTTGGGATTTTTTTTTAGATTTTTTATTATAATAAATTGGGTTATATTATCATATTCTCATCAGGATCGGCCAACAATATCGATTTTTATTATAATAAATTGGGTTATATTATCATATTCTCATCAGGATCGTCCGACAATATCCGATGTTTGCGATATATATCCGGTTTTAACTGCAAGGGTATATCAACTTCGGCTACGCCCGAAGATAGCTTTCCCTTCTTGTTTTTATTTATATTTAATCACAACTTATTTATTAAAGTTCCTTTTTTTTGTAATATATTCTGTATTTGTCTCAAGGTGCCTTTTTTAGGTGTTAGGTTAGTTCATCTTTAATAGTTAAGTGTTTCATTAAAAAGAAAAGATACAAAAGAAGTGGTTTTAATTCAAATTGGAAACAAAAAAATGAAATGAGAGTGGAAATCTAAAATAAAGGCGGCGAAAGGGAAAACGTGAAACCAAAAAAAAAGTGAGTTCAGAGCCGTGGAAAGAGAAATTTAGCAAAGGCCAGCCGGTGATGATCCGGATGTATGGTTTGGCCCAAGGGAGGGTGGACCTTATTTGGACCCGGTACCGTGGCGCCCAATCATCTGCTGGGTGATGATTTGTGAATATATATTTTGTGTAACGGTGCCATTTTTATAACCAGTACTCGTAGATTATATATTTGTAATACTTATTATATTTTTTAATATTTCAGCATACATTTTTATATATATTTAGATGTTACAGGCAACAAGGGCGTAATGGACAGAGCTGGTCTGAGGGCCTTTTGACCAATAAGCATATTATAGTTGAAAGGTTCCTTTTCTTTAATCGACAATGGGTGTGTTGAGGCACGGAAGTTTCCGAGTTGCGCGCAGGTTAATTTCACAGATATTAGTGACATTGTTATTCTACCTGAAGTATAGACAGAGTTTTAGCAAATGATGTCTTCCAATTTGAATGCTTTTGTGGCCCCTATATGGGTTGTGGGAAAAAAGGGTTTAGGGATAGCCTAATAAAAGACTTGTGGTGTATTTTAGAAAATTGAATTCAAAGACTTTTGTCGAAAAATACCCGATGCCGAGTATTTCAATGATACTTTCAAAACTAGGAAAGTCAAACTATTTCACAACCCTGGGTATCCAGACAAACCAGATTAATCTCGCGGAGGGTGATCGAGAAAAGACATCTTTTTCGTTAAATATTGGAAAATACCTAAAAAACTTTCCGCCTAAAAACACTCATAAACCATTTGCCTAAGAGCAATCGACGATTTTTTTCGAGATAAAATTGGCCACTCATGCTATGTCTACGTAGACGAAGTCATCGTTTTCTAGAAAACTAAAGAGGAGCATGTTTCTCATGTAGAAATCCTTCAAAGATTGCATAGCGCTAACATGAGGGTGTCAAGAGAAAAATCTTAAATGTGTTTCTCGGCTTTGTTGTCTGTTAAGTGGCTATAAAAAAGAGCTTAGATAAGGTAAGAATTTAAAAAGCCCAGTAACGTTTTTTACAGTCATTTTTGGGCCTTGCTAGCTACTGTCGTTATTTTATCAAGGATTTCGCAACGAAAACAAGACCTTTGACTAATATCCTAAAGGGAGAAGAGAGTATATTTAGCAAATATCGATCAAAGAATATGATTGTTGACTTAAAAAAGGCCGAACTCAATGCGTTTGACAGACTTAGGAACATCCTTGCCAGATTTTTCAAACACATTCGACAAGAGAATTTGAGATATCAAATTCTATACTGACTATCATCCTCTTGGAAAGCGCGCATCGAGAAGAGCGGAGTTAAGGTTCTTTATAAGTTTGGAAATGAGAACTAAGTGACTCCCTGTCACGTCAGAACATTCATGCTTTACCAGAACATGCCAGAGTCGAATGCCGCGAAGATACACAGCTATTTAAGCAACTGACATGCCGGTCAACTTCTCCACAAATCAGAAAGTTTTGAAGAAGCAACTGCCTCTACTCACAGGATATTTATACTGTTTGGGTCAAATACACGGCACCTTATTATTTTTATCAGCAGGGATGGTTTGCTATATCTGGTAAAGGGTGTTGTAACTCCGAACGTAGTAAATGCGTTACACTGCGAGCTGCCGATCATGGCCCATATTCAAGATGAATTGGTTCAGCTATTTCCGGATACCAAGTTCTGGTACTGCAAATCTAGGGTAGCAGATATTGTCAGAAGGGACGAGAAAACAGAAATAATGGTCTTAGAGCATAACAGGGCTGCCCAGGAAATTTTAAAGCACGTTTTAAATGAATACTATGAA